TAAGTAAGTATCAATTCAGGTATCAAAGCAAACCTGATGAGTTCCTCCCCACTGCAGACACTGCATAATCTAACACTGGTGTCAAAGGAAACTGGGCCATGTATGAGGCCAACACTCTGCCCTGGCTAGTTACAGCTGCTCAGTCTGCTTCTCTGGTTTCTCTAATAATTTTGCCTTCCACGTAACTCCTCATCTCATCTGTCTGTGCTTCAGCCACAAGAACTTCAGGCACAGGATTTCTTTTCTTTCTACTGGCTACCCAAGATCCCTGAAAATGGGCTCCCTATATGCCAGGCAAGTTTCAGCTGGTCATTTGGTCTCCCTGAATTATTCTCTCATGCTTTTTTTATTTTGGCTTTAAATAAACTTATTCCCATCTTTCCCCCCCCAATCTTTGCTAAAATAGGCCTATTCCTATGAAAGCTTCCATTTTAAAAAAGATTCATTATTATTTTGATAAAAATCCCATTATTAAAATATTTCTGGGCAAATCCCTTGATGATTCAAAACAATTAATTAAGGAATTAAATAATTATTTTGAACGCCATTTGTATTTTCTTTACTTTTAACTAGGTTTTCTTTAGAACAGTGCAGTTGCTGATCAGCCAGACCTTGATCTTATTATTCTAGTCAACTACATAATTAATGTTTAATGGCACCTTTAGCTACTGTGTTGATTAAGATTAACGTACTAAATTAGATGAAGCTTTCTGAAACAAGAAATTTTTTTGCAACACAAAATTCCAAATTAACTCTTAACTTTAAAGGAAAGGAATATAATATTCAAGTGGAATTTGTATCTTATGAATATTTAAGAATGAAATATCCTGAGATATTTCTGAGAAATCTGTCTGGTTATTTACAAGATTTTACATCATGCTGTAAATCTGAGTTAGATTATTAAAAACTCAAATATTGCATTTCTATTCTACCAGCTACACGAAACACTTACACATGCATCTTATCAAGCAGCCTAAAGCCCCATTAAGCCTTTCTTTTTGCTGGTTTTGCATGTATCATTTGACAGCCAGTACATGGGGCAAAGGGAAGAGTACATTTGCACATCACATTAATTTTGAATACAAAAAACCACCTTTCATTTACCTATTTCTTAGGACAGAATCTGACTCCACGTAGTCCTCTAGAACACCTCTCAGCTTTTGCTCTGACTTTTCCAGTTCTTTTATTCTGAGTTCCAAATTCTCTTCTCCAGCACTATGTACTTGTTCATCATGTATGCTTGCATCTTCTAATTCCTGGAAAATCCAGGAAGTATCAATTTTAACATTGAAATTCAGGATATCGAATCCTTCATTACCAGGCGTTTTAATACAGCAACAAAATTCTTGTTCTTTCCCTGATGAAGGATCCATGATGAAAAATCCCAAATTACTAGATTCTCAATGTACTGCTGTTTAAGCAAGGAATAAATGAGTCTAAACCTCTGATGATCAAATGAACAGTCCTTCTCAATTCTGAACACATTTATTATTTATGAAAGAGTCTCATTTCATTAGCCCCAGAGTAATTCAGCATGTGTGGAAGGTGTTGCAGTTCACAAAATGAGATCCCCATAAAAAATTCAATTAGACTAATTCATTAAGGAATTAGGCATAAAAGTTTTGAAAAGAGGACAATTTTCTACTAAGTATAGGAGTTAATAAAATTGAGAATGTTTATCACACAATTTACAACCCCTTCCCCCCCATACTTATTTTGTATAAATAGCTGATATTTTTATTGTTTCAAGACAGAAGATTAAACAATAGTATTTCCTATGTGAAAGGCAATCTGCAGCTATTTCAGAGAAACGTTCATTGTGCTTAAGTGGTATTCTGGAATTCTGCATTCAGTATTTTACTTCAAATTCTCCTTCAACTCTGATAAGTTATGAAACTATGCCTAAAAGGAATTTTTAAACTTGGTGTTGAGAAGGCAAGCTAAGTTTGGTTCTTTTCCTTTGCCTCTTTCAGCAATAGCTCTACAAGTTCTTCAGCCTGCAGTCCACCTTCATTTACAGAAACTCTTTTAAGCAAGTATTGTCCTATAACTGGTATCTGTAAAATGCCTTTGCTTTTGTTATAATTGTGTTGATTTGGAATTTTATCTGTAATTGTAATTCAACCACTGAGTTTGGACCTATTCTCCAGGAAATGAAGTGGTTACTGTTCTGGTTTGGTTTATTTTCTTTTTTTTTCCTCTACAAGGACCAAGAGTGACAAGCTCCAGCTGCTCCTCAGTCCCTTGAGAAGCCATAATACTTAAAAGCTACAAGTATGGAAGGACAAACAACGCATAAATCCACATGGACAACAAAGTTCAAGCCACTTTGTGATCTCTAGGCTTACCAAGCCCAGCCTCCTCTCAGAGACCACGCATTTCTGAGACCTGCAAGCATAATCATGGCTCTCCCTGGCCTCTCCCAGATGGAAAAGTATCTCTGATTTTGAGCTCCTTGAGACACTAATACTTTGTATTTATTATTTGTAAAGTGAATAGACATCCTGCTCCATGACTATGAGCACCCCTGCACACCACTGTGAAAGGAATATGTAATAATAGTGGACAATGTTACTCTCCTCATTAACAGTTTACAGTGGAAGCTGAATTAATGTCATTTTCTATTGTGTCACAGCCTAATATCCAACTCAAGCTGTAAGAAATAAAATTAGCTGTATATTTGGCAGAAAGTAGCTAGATAAAAGCAATGAGGACGGACCAGGCAGGAACTGACACTTAAAACCATTGCATTGATTTTTCTCACATATTTCTAGTACCTGTTCTTACTTGTAAGGGCACTTTTATTCTCTGATATATTGAAAGCTAATACAACAGTTTCTGAAGTTGATCTCAAACCTCACAGTCTATTAGGATCTACGCTTCTGATGTCTCGTCCAGAAAACTACTGAGTGTTCTAGCATAAAGCCAGGAAAGCTGTTATGACTGACATCAGAAATGAGAAACTTATTGTTTCCTTCTTCACTTGTACAGCTGTGACAGATGATTTAAGAACTGAGTCACTGAAAATCAGGCAGAAACATGCATGGACCAAATCTAGTCAGTTAACACACTGTACTTGTTTCCAGCTCTATAACAAATCCCAATATGCAATGGATAGTAAGACTGGAATGATACACTCTGTTTTCCAAAACTAGAAATCCTGCTAGCTCAGCACAGAATAAAAACATCATGAATGTGATGGAAAATGGCACTCAAATCAGCCAGTTTCTTTGAGAAAACTGTCACATGTGGATCACAATGTAACACACAAAAAAAAATCAGCAAACTAAATTGCACATACCTTTTCTGCTTTGTAACAAGACCATTTCCTGGCTCCACAGTGTGCTTTACCATTGCAGCCACATGCTATGACCATCCCATGTTTGTGCTTATAGTTTCATTTCCAAAGCAGTGATGAGCAAACTTATGTCTATGAGAAGAAAAGAGCATTTCTTTGCCAAGTGAATCACACTTTCCAATTTCTGTTCCTTCATCAGCACCTGGTTTGATAGCTCAAGCTCTGTTTATCTCCTGTCATGGTCCTTCTCCTCAGAGTAATGCCCAAACACTTCCTTTTGAAGTGAAGACCTCATTTTTCCCATTCTGCCGTCACACTGCTAAGTGTTTTAATTAAAACATGAAAAATCTTTATTTGAAAACACATTCTGTAAATGTTTGTTCCTTTGAACAACACATTGTGGGCAACACATTCCTTTAGGGATTGACTTTCCTAACTTCTACATGATCCTTGTTTCCAATTTAAATTGTGCTTTGTACCAAGGAAACAGGGTTATTCAGACTCTCACACGAGCCACAGTTTGCTGCATCTGACAATTAATCTTGTGGAGTGCCTCAACTCTTTCTGCAGGTGAATGATCTTGACTGGCGACTCTTTGTGAAGGGTACGTCTAAAAATTATCTGAGATAACCAGCTTCTTTTGAGGCTGATTCCTGCAGCTTCAAGAGTAAGATATTCAGTTGCTGTGACAAAACTTTTCCTCAGCTTTCTTTGTGCTGCCTTAATTGTTCTTTGCCTTGTTATTTTTTTCAATCATAATTTCTACTTTATGTGATGTATTATCATAACCATCTTATTCCACTCCATGTTCATGCTGGAGTTCTATGCGTCCATGGGAGCAGAATTGTTTCTCTGTAGCTTTTTGTGTAGCCCTTTTAACACTTAGATGATTTCCAAGAAAATGTGAGGGAGGAGAAAGTTATCTTTTAATATTGTGCTCTTAATATCTTCAGCTTGTCTTACCATTCCAGAAATAATTAAAATTATCTATTTCTTCATATTGCCTTTCCAGCTCTGAAATAACGGTTTGCTTTACCCCTCTTTGAAAGATAAGCCTGAACTTTTTGCATCTTCTAACCATTCTCCATCTCAAACAACTCTTTTCAACTTCTATTTTTTCAATCTGTGCTTTGCCCAAATTTTCTTGCAGTTCAGGTGGTCAGTATCTTTGTTTATCCATTATCCTTGCTGGTTGAGGTTGTGTCATTTTTGCTTCGTGGTAGCTAATGCCAACATTTCTTTTATTCCGTCTGAGACGATGCCATGATTTCCAAATATTAATTTCCAACTATTTCTCTGCTCATCGCGTTTTCCTCCACACCCATTTCTTCAAGCGTCTCTTTCTTCTTGAAGAGATAGCTGAGCACAGTGCATCATGCATTCTTATTTCCTAATCTCTCAGGCTATGTTGGGATCTTCCATTCTCCCAGTGCTCTCTTTGCAAGCTATTGCCTTAATTTTTAAGAAACATTCAAAAAATCATTTCTCCCACGTAGTTCTTACCCACTTCAAAGTTTCCTTGCTTCAATCTTCCATCTCTACTTTCTCCAAAACCCATCTCTTCTCCATCTGTCGATTTCCAGTTTATGAATTTAATATGAATTTTACCACTGCAGGGTTGTAAATCTCTATTTGTTTCCATCTTTGGACAGTTTTTTCCCCTGTCAGATATTTACTATAGAGAACTTATTGTCAAACACTTAGCTTTTTTATAAAGATATTAAAAAGGAGATTCTGTGTTTCCTGGGTGAAATGCAAACCACGTTTGTTGAAAGCATGCAGTATGGAGACAAAAACCTCAGTACTGTAAGAAAACCATTTGGTAGAGAACAGTTCACATAGCAGCCAGTAATTGCACTTGTATTTTTTCCAGTGTTTTATTGGTGTGAAAGTGTAAATTCTGTTTAGATTTTTTTTCACTGTTTATGGTGTGCTGGTCCTTATTTGATTATCAAATCATTCCAGCTTGAAGCTATATCTTTAAAAAAATCTCTAATTCTAAATTCAAATATTTTGCAGCTTCAAGTATTATGCAAACGGTTTTATGAAAAAAAATGCACCAATTTAAAGCTGCTCAATAAATATTTTCTGTAGTTTTGCACGTGGACTCAGCTGTTCACTCCATAGGTTCTTTTAGTAGCCTGTATACAAAACAAAACAAAAACCAGAAAACAAAAACCAACATAGAAAAGAAAAAGTCTGATGAACTTTAGATAGAAAATAGTAACTTAGAAATAAGTATTGGTATCCAGCCCTAAATTTACAGACACCACAATCTCCTTCTAAAAGTTTTCTATTAGCTTCAAAATAACAAGAACCAAATTTACTATCAGTAAATCACCTGGTTTACCTTGAAGTAATGAACAGTGTTCAAGAGTCCAACTACAGTCGAGTCTCTTAAAATAGGGTTTGCTGTGACACATTAATCAGAGACACATTCACCTCTGGCAAGATGAATTAAAGGAAATTACCCTCCACATTAGCACTGTAATATGACACGCACTCCTAGAAACATGAGAGTTGAGTAGCTATGTGACTACACAGCCATTGCCGCTGTGCTATCCAAGTTCTTGTCACCAACCTTGAATTTAACTGCTTAAATAGTTGTTGTAAACAGGAAGAATAGCAGCTTATATCAGTACAACGTATTTTCTGGAGACTACACTTGAAAATTTGTATTTTTATTCTTTTTTTTCCTCACCAAAGGGGACCCATAATACTATCAGCTATATCAGCACAGAAGCCTATAGGTCAGGCCTAAGCCTTGAACTCCTAGTATTTCTAACTATTTTAAATGGAATTTAAAAAATGCTGGTGTTCTCACTAAGTTTATAGAATGTTTATAAAGTGTCTCTAAACTTGGCCAATATACTTTTTACAGTATTTAAAATAAAAAATGTTCATCCAGATGTTGGCACCTATAACTGGGACTGGAGTAAAATAACTGGATGAAACTCCAAAGGCAATGGTTTGGTGACTTCCTTTAACATTACTCTTTGAAAGTTTTATCTGTCCTTTCCAGTCTCCGCAGAACAGAAAATTCAGTTCAGACTGAGGTTAAGGTGAATAGGGTACCACAAGGCTTCTCTTTCCTTCAAATGCATCTCTAGAAGCATATGCTTAATTTTTGAAAAAATGAAGAAAATTTCAAAAGGAATGCCCAAAATGCTGTTAAAAATATTGCCCAATTTTGAGGAATTTTCAACACCCATCTAGCAACCAAAAGAACCAAAACCACATGTAACAAATTATTAATACCCTTGGATTACCTCCCACCCATCTGCATCTACCAACATTTTATTGTATACATTTGCAACAACACTAGTAATGGAAGACCAGAGCCAGTTCCCAAGACTATCAACAGAAAGATGATAAATGAATATAGTGGGATCTGAATAAACCCCCAAAAGAGATCACGATAATATAGGTCTGATTTCTCAAAAGTACTTGTAAACTGGGCAGAAGAAAATACTGTTCCAAGCTTAATGTAAGGTGAACAGAATAGCTTTTTTGGATAACTATTGTTATCGTGCTTCTTATCATACAGTACTTGATCACAGTTTCGAAGGAATCCATTAACTACATTTCCTACTATAGATTCCATGAACATAATTACAAGAGATTCCAAATGAAAAAAACACTTTAAAAAATTGAAAAGGTAAAAATATTGTGTATTTTCAGTTCTAAACAAACAAAACAGAACAACAACAACAATAGAAACACTGCATAAATATTCAACAGGTTAAAACCATAGCTTAATCCTCTAGCAGTTAGGTTGTTGAGTTACGATCCTTACTGAAAGGCAGTGTGGAGCTTGCATTGTTCCAGGTAAGAGGGTAGTGTCTGAAGGGAGATACATGGAGGTTTCTTACCCTTGCTTCTTCATGATGCATGGGCACACGGAGGGTCAATCACATTGCAACCTTCACATTGCCTTATTAAAGGGAAATCAAGTTATTATAACCTAAGCTATGTCGTGTCTTCAAGGATCTTGAGGAAGTGAAATGAAACCATTTTGCGTGTGTGTTGATGCCTGTAGGGCATCTGAAAACCCAAACTCTCCATTTGGCATGACAGAAGGCAGGATCCTACAGCAATATCTGAATTTTTAGAAAACATATACCTGCTCTGTAGAACTGAAGATCACACCTGCAGTTAGGGCATTCAGTAACTTAGAACACAAAATCATTTCTCATTGAAAACCAGTGACTTTCTGCAGAAGTCTAGAAAGGTGACTGAAGGCATTCAAGTTGGATTTTATAGGCGACTATTTCTCTCTGTGCAAACACAACCAGTGTATCCTCCCCCACAGTATCAGGGTCTTATGAAGACAATTCTCAAAACATGACAAAATTTAAGAGTTGAACATTGAGTATAAAGAAATATAAAGAATACCAACCACACATCTTGGCTCAGTTGTGTCATCAAGGCCACAGAATGAATGCTAGTGAAAAAAACAAAAAAAGGAACAAAAACTATAACATAAGATCAAAAGAAAATGAGGAAAAAAGAAAAGAAAGAAAGATGTAAGATATGTAATATGAAATCCAGTGACATTACTTTACAGCAGTTAGTCCTATATCTATATTAATTGAGTTGATCTAAAAGAGAGATACAGTATACCAATCTTACTCTAAAAATCGGTAATGGGGTACAAAATTCAGTATTTGAAGGCAGATTTACAAATGGTAACATTTGTTGATAATGTAACTTCAGAATTAGGAGCTTTGGTTTTGTAACTCAGTTAAGCCAGTACTTGTAATTATACACCTTTCGTATGTTCACTAAGAGAACAATTAAATGAAACTTATATGACAGAGAATCAGTTATAAGAAAAGCATGATGTGTTCAAACAGCACTTGTTCCTCATGTTTCAAGTAGCAGAATAAAACTGAGATTTTACACTATTCTTTTGTAAAGCCTTCTAGAAGCAGAGCTGGCCGCTGAAGTATCTATAGGGTAAAAATAGTCATCCTTATTGTTCTGATTTCACTGAATTTTATATTAAACTTAAAAATAGAACCCATTCCTAAAGGAAAACAAAAAGCCATACTCGTGACACAGTAACTCTGAGTAGTGCATTGCCCTTAGCTATAACCAGCACTGAGGCTGACCTATAAATGCTGCCATTCCTTCAAAAGCATAAGACTTCTCTCCACAAGAAATTATTGTGCTCAGTGGCAGCAGCATGTAGGTGTCAGTCTGCACCTACTGACATATTAAACCTTCAGAAGAACAATGAAGAAGTGTATCATTCATTTATTCTCTGGCAACACAATCTTCCTTCAGGCAATCATATTCAGAATGGGATTTAATCCCAAGGAAAAAAAATATCAAATGTAATACAGATAGAAGGAAGGTCTCCACCTGTCCAGGAGCTGAAGGTTAATAGAAAATGATGAAGCTTTTTTGAAGCCTCCTGCTAATGTAACATTAAGGCAAAGAGAATGTTAATCATTTTAACTCATTACCAGCTTTCTGCTAAGCTTGTGATTAAGCTGTTTCTTTTCCAATACTTTTCTCTGTCCATTCAACTGATGAACCAGCACAGATAATGCTAACTTCCATTTTCAAAATTAGTAGTCTGTCTAATCCACTACTTACTCTATAAACTGTAATGGCAATGCATTAAAGGCTTACATTTTGGCAAACGCAATATCTAGAGATTTTGATATTTCAGAATAGGTGAATAAATACTAATATTTGCAACAATTAACATGTAGAGCTACCACCTATCCCTCAAGGTTTCTCTGCTGTGAGGAGTTAAGTGAAGCATCTTAGATATCATTGGCTGTTAGACACGAACAGCTTTGGGCATAGAAGTGGTTCAGGACAGAAGAGGCAAAGGCAGCAGAAGAGCCCTTTAAGGGGTGGATACTGGCTGCGTTTGTCTGCTAGTGGAAACAGGGATCACTGTCTTCCCAATGGATGCAGGCAGACTAGCTCCAGCTGGGGACTAGGAGCGGGGTGATGTAAAGTGTCAATTAACAACAGCAGCAGACAGCCCAGCTTCTCACAGCTCTTCTCCTGGCTCTTCCACAAACCCAGCTGAGTATCACAGCTCAAAAAATGCAGGACAATGTACAGCAGAGGAGAGACAGCTACTATGGTAGCAGAAGGGGCCAAGGAAGCTGCTGAGGGAACTGAAGTAGCTGCTAGAAGTGCAATATCCCCAGAGGGTGACACAGAGAAGACTGCTGCATCCTGAGAGCAGATGAAGGGACAGTGAGACTAGTGAAGGGCAAGGAAGAAACCTTCCCACATCCAGCAAGCTTTTCCCCAAATTGTCTCTCAGTTCTGCAAACCCCACTGACCTCTTCCAGCTCCCATTCAGAGTACTCCAAAAGCCTTCCATTTGCTCTTTTATACTATTCTGATTCCTACACACACATCCCCTCAAAAAAGAAAAGACTCCAGTAACTTCTGCATTTAGCCCAGCAGCAAGTTCATGTGAGATTAAGTACCTGTGTCTACCTGAGAAAATGAACCTGAGATGATGTGGCTCATGTTGGGATCTAGGCAATGGTTTAGAAAAAGCAACAACTAAAACACTTTGCTCGGACTTAGAGAAAGCCCCATTGTGAGCCCATGCCCAGCAGAACAGCCTAAACTCCACAGACCTGGGAATCATTTGAGCCCACAGTCCAGGAACTTCGTGCCATCTCTTGCTTGGGACCACAGTGATACAAATACGTTTGCTGTCTTAAGCCTCAATCAAAGCTTCTTCAAAAGAGGTGAAATTTAATAATATACCCTGGATACAGGGTATTAATTTGGAATTCCTTTCTATTTTAAAACAAGAAATATTTTTTGTTTGTAGTGTTCATTACATTGCACCTCATTAACTTTGTTTTAGTTTTCAGTACTTGCAAGTTTTGCAAAGCGATGTTATCAGAACAGGACAAGTGTTCAAAGCCAGATTGGACAGGGCCCTGAACAAACTGGTCTAGTGGGAAGTGTCCCTGCCCATGGCATGGGGTTTGGAACTAGGTGATCTTAAGGTCCTTTTTCAACCCTAACCATTCTATGATTCTTTCAAACAGGGACAAATCTTTGTGTTGTGTCTGATCTAAACCACAGCAAATCCTCTCTCTTCTAGTCTAGTGTCTTTTCAGACCCCTTGATACTTTTCTGTACTTGATAGAAAACCCAGGTAACAACTAATTTGAGCAGATTAGGGACAGAGCTTCATTTCATGCAGCAATGACTCTAACTCAAAATTTATCTTCTTTTAAAACAGATTTCATGGTATTAGGTTAAATGCTATTAATGTCAATGCAATAGAAAACAATAAACTAGTATGGAAAAGAAAATCCATTTGCATTGCCCAGGCATTTATTTACCTTTTCCTCAATTTCTTTGAGTTGCCTCTTCTGAAGTTCTATTTTATCTTCCAGTTCTCGAATTCGCTGGAACAGAAAAAGTAAAATAGGCATTATTATATCTAATTTGAAAAGTATATCAATCAAAAAGATAAGAAATAGATTAAAAATTAAGAGAGCAAATTACCATTATTGATGTAATGCTTCCTTTACAGTTACATTAAATAGGTCCATGGCAGGATTGCTCCATGGTTCCATGAAACCAAAGCATTTTAAACAAGCTGCACACTCAGAACATCATGTTTACTACCAGGAAGTCTACTCATCACCAGTCATTAACCATAATTTTAACATATACACACAGACAATACCAACTAGCCCCAAAATTCTTAGAAGTACATCACTACTTGCCCAGCAAATGCCAGAAGTTTTTTTACTTACCGAGACAGTCAGCAGATTCTACTTTTCTTTTTCATTCTCTATTTTCCTTCTTATAAAACATTACTATGCTTCTGGCATAGTTGCATTATACAATATGATTATGCTATATGATTTTCAGTTCATCACCAAGATATCATCCAGATGTTCAGTTACATTCTTTTACCAGGGCCACCTCCCACCAGAGTCAGAGAAAATGTCTTCTTCAGCACAGCTCTCTGTAATTTTAAGGATTTTTTCTGTTCAGTTCCACAGCTTCTCCAAAAACACGACTGTTGCTGGGTCCATGTATCCTATGTTATTTCTGTCCCTTGTTTCCTTTCTATGAATTATCTCTCAATTTTTTTTTCTTGGCTTCTCCATGAAGAAGAAGCATTTATTACACTTTTAGTATATTGTACTTGTTACAGATAAAATAGGTTCATAAATTAATTTTTATTTTAAATAGGCACAAACCTTGAATCTCCTACTAAGAGCCACTGGGAAACAAGGAGCAACTTCGTACTAACAGCTTTTTTTGGTATTAACTACCTGACCTCTGCTTGGTGGATAAGGTTATTAACAGTTCCCTTGAAACAAAAATCATCATCTACTCTAGTTTCTATGCATAGGTCAATAAAATTACAGTAACACCACTCCTGAATTATTTTATTGCTCCCAAATTGATTTGAACAATAGTATCTCTTTCAAAATAACACCCAGTCATTACTCATAAGCCTGTGCGATCAACTGATGTTGACAGTTGATTATCTGCTTTCAGTGTAAAGACCTCAAATAGTGGGCAATGCTGACGGTAGCCCAGGAAAGCTGCAGCAAGGCAGCAACTGATCCAATGACCATATTGTTTTTGAGAACCACAGAGTTTGGTGTGAAAATTGCAAATCTAAACTGAAGATACCCCAAAGATGTACATCCAACCCTGCAGTTCACTTGGTGCAGGGCATACTACCCCCCATACAAATACTGCAGACAAGTCACAAGCAATAGCTTTGTTATTTTTGCTGATGTTTTAAAACAAAAGATTTTGCTTAAATGACTGGTTTGAATATCATGCAGTCAGGAAAGGTCAATCAAAACCTCCACTGTATCATTCTGCGAGATTATTCTCCAGATAATACAAAAGCACAAAACAGATACCCTCATGTGATACCAGTGCACACAGCTTTGCTGACAGTAACAAATGCCCTGAGCACAGCTGTATTAATTTCACTTTTTCTCTATTACTTTTGAATTGATTCATACTCCACCTACTCCCTGCTCAAACCAAAGCTCTCTCTCAAACGATCATCTTCACATACTGTATGTACCAGAATATTACAGTCACAGTAAAAAGCCATGAGATGAGAAGCAGGGCAATGTAATCACCTCTGAGATCTCTGGTCCATCAGATTATATTCCTGTTTCTCTCCCACTCATTTCAGTTATGCTGATTCCTACTTACAACCACATCCTAGATCTGAGTGACAGACTACAATTGTCTGGGGGTCCTGCTATGCTCTGTGATGAAATCTGGCCATGGTGAGATAAGTGGAGAGAAGAATATTTTTAAACTCCATTTTCACCTTCAAGATTTACTGTGTGAAATATTTTTTTCAATACCTGCTGAGAACTCACCTCCAGAAAAAAGGGAAATAAAAAAGCCTCTAAACACCTGGTGGCTTTCTTACCTCAGGGTTTACAGCAAAAGTTCTTTTATAAAAGAACATCTTAATTAGGATAAGACAGCATTTTTTCTGGTTTGGGAATTATGTTAATTAAGTAAAATTTGAGATATTATTACTCCCTTATGAATTTTTAATCTTTTCACAAGATTACTGCTGTTCAGCTATTCTCTCCAGCTATTCAGAATAGCTCTAAAAAAAAAAAACCCAAAAGGCTGAGGCTTCTGTTTTCCAATTTCCACCCATAAACCACTATAATTGTTAAACTTCGTGGGATAAAAGACAGAGAACAGTTGTAAGATGAAGAAATATACGCTTTCCTAATAATCAGTGTAAATACAAATAAAACCTAGCAATTGAAAGGGAATACACATAGGGCTGAATTTCTTACCAGTGAAAAATCTACAGAAATTGCTCAAAACAACTAGATTTGTCAGTAAGACAGATACATACAAGGTGGGTATAGTCAGTAGGGGAGATATTTACATATATACATATGTATATGTAGACCTGTTCCAGACTTGCCACCTAAGGATAATATGGTGAAGACAGGTGACCAGTGTTTAAACAGCTAGTATTACCTTATATTAGTAGAAATCACAATGACAAAACACTTATGCTGCAAATAAGCAAGGCTTTGTAACCAGCTTTACTACAGACATTAAGAGTTCAAATCTAGACAGGTCAGAACTTGTTCTAAAACACAACAGCTGGAATTTTCCATCACGTATCAAAACTTGGAGTTGTTTACTTGCTTTCCTCTGGAATATTGTAGGGAGGATTATCCAGGAAGATGAAGTGGTCATAGCTATTCCCTTCAACACCCTCTCATTGTACAGGGTCAGCATTGGAAGGTTACCAGCCTAGCTCAGCATTTATATATCCTGAAAAATCTGGTTTAACTAATTTATTTTCATTTAACTACAGAGATTGCCTTAAAATACATATATTTTAATATCTATTTTTTGCATAAACATATATATATGCAATATATTGGCAGGGAAAAAAAGCAGATTTACATCTGTATGTGGTATTTAACAGGAGAAGAATTATTTTCCCCCATTGTACCTATATGCATTTACAGCATTGTGGTGAGGCACTGGATAGGCTCTATCCCTGGCAGTGTTAAGGCCAGGCTGGACAGAGCCTTGGGCGACATGATCTAGTGTGAGGCATCCCTGCCCACGGCAGGAGGTTGGAACTAGATGATCTTAAGGTCCTTTCCAACCCAACCATTCAATGATTCTATGATCAACTTGATCATACAAAGATAATTTCAAAAATGTAACTTGAAAAATACATATAAGCTACATGCAACAATCCTGGCGTTAACAAAAAAAGGATCTTCTAGAAATAGCAAGAAATGTTCCTCAGACAAAGGTTATAATAACCTACTGAGAAGGAAATTACAAAAGAATTACACATGCTAATTAAGACCAAAGGTGGGATTGCTTGAGATTCAGTGTAAGTATTTACATCTTTACCTGCTACTCCTTTTGTTTGCAAGAATTAGCAATCAAGAATCTGTGGACTCATTCTCAGGTTTTCAACACTTGATTAGAGGCTTCCAGTGAATTCCAATTTGTTTATGTTTGCAAAAGCATAACTGTGACAACAAATCATGCAGAACTATTTCATTGTTATCAAGGAATTCTACTGTCTTTTATGCTTTGGGGCATAAATTGACAATCAGTAAGTCAAGCTTTTCTTGCTATGTCATCTAACGCCATAACAGCTGTGCTGTAAAAGGTTCAGCTCTACCTTGACATGGCTTACAGGAACCTTGCAGGGTAAATTAAGCACATTATTAATGGCACAAAAACTGTGTGAGGTATGAGGAAGCAACAAAATCTACCATATCTTACTCTCAAAACACTGAGAAGTCTCAGTTGAGATGAAAGCTACAAATGCTGCTCCTTTGCTTATTTTGTTTTTAAAAAGGGGGGGGGGGGTAGAAGATATGGATAGATAACCTAAAACCAGCACAGTGTTTATGTTTCCTTTAAACCCTTTAGCATTGGTTACAGGCAGAGCAAGGATTAGGGACAAAATGGAGCGGTGTTCTGCTGCATTCTAGCATGTCTTGTGTTCCTATGGTTGATAGCTGCCCTCCAGTCACATGGTTGCACCTTTTCAGGACTGACAGGATACATGAGAATAACACTGTGTTGTCAAATCATGAGGCCACACAAAGGAATTACTGTAGGCAAACAAAGAGCCACAGTGAAGCAAAAATAGTGCAGTGAGGCTGGAATCATGAAAGAGAGGAGCAAAACATTACGGACATGGATTCTTAACACTGTCCACCTCGCCTGCATTCCAAACCAACCTGCCAAAACCATGAGTACTAATTTGTTACCTATTTTATTACAATAGCAAATAAAACCTCATGAAACTTCTACATGATAGATGGGTAGATTTGTGAATACTCCCTGTTACTACCTTCACCTGCACGGAGCTCTCCAGTGTTTGGGAAACAGGGTTGGACAAGCATCCATTTCAGTATGACAGGCAACTTCTTGATAAATCATCCTTCCACTAGCAAAGGATTTGCTGCCACTTCTGAGTAAGTGCTTACAAACAATCAGAAAGCAGCAGGGGCCAGGAGGGCCGTACTGCTGTATTGAGTTGACAGCAGATGGCTCTGCCGGCCAAGCTACGGCTGGCACAGCAGCTTCAGCTCTGTCAGGAGTGAGGCTCAGCTCTGAAATACATTTGCATTTCCAGAGAGCTACAGAACAAAGATGCTAAAGATGTACACCATATGCCTTATTTATCACCTAACTTTGATTTGAACAGACTTTTAAGTTCGATTATACAATTTTTCTTACTAGCAGTTACATATACATTATATATACTAAGGCAGGTGGTACAACTATAACCCTGATGGACAGCCTAAAATGCTAACAATTAGATAAGAGACAGAACACACAGAAAGTTCAGGCAGCTAAAGTACACATTTCCCTTGGAAGTCTATAGTGTGAAGAC